CGGCGGCCTGGTGCCCGTTCGGGCTCGGGCCTGCCTGGCTGCACCGCCCCGTGCGCCCCTGACGCCCGTCTCCCAGACCCGCGGTGCGGACAGTCTGGTCACCTCGCCGGCGGGCCAGTGGTCACAAGGCCCCGCGGTGAGAGGGGAGGCGGCGTCTCCGCGGCCTTGAGACTCGACGACGGGTGTCGTCAGGCCATCCCGTCTGGGTTCCGGCCTCACGTCTCCGTCTGACGTGGGGCTCGGCACGAAGCGGGATGGGAGGTGGGGCCGGGCCCGGCCGCGCGTCCTGCTCGCGAACGGGCCGTGTTTCCTGCCGCCTGGGAGTTGTGGCCTGCGGCCGGCCGGCTGGGTGGGGGCACGGGCGGAGCGCGCCGCGGTGCGCGGGGCAGTGGCTGGTCTGCAGCGTGCCCGCTGGCCAGCGGCCGCAGGGGCCCTTGCCAGGAGGACCTACCCGAGGAGCAGGGGCTTGTTGCGGAACCGGGCCCATCCCCCGAGGCAGGGGCCGCCCCGGGGCGGCTTTGACCCCTTGGGGTGTGCGGGGCACCGGCGGGGCCGCCTACGGAGAGGCCTGGCTTCCGAGGGGGTGGCGTGGGCCTGGCCCTGGCCTCCCTGCGTGGGACCATGACCGCGCAGCCCCTGCGGCTGCAGCAGAGGTGCGCCAGTGCTGGGAACAGGCGGCGCCTGGCTGGCTCCAGTGGGCAGCTGTGGTGATCCGTCTGGGCCCTCGGGAGCTGTCCTGCCGTCAGCTCCTGGCCTCCCGCAGCCTTGGCCTCGCTGTCTCCGAGTCATGCGTGCGCGCAGGAACCCCGGGCTTACGGTCCCACTGCTGTGGCCATTGGGGCGAGGAAGCTGTGTCAGCTGCGACACTGCGGCGCTCGGCTCCTGCGCGCCCAGCAGTGCTCCCGGGGCCAGGTGTCGTGGCCTCGGCCCCGCGCCGTCGCCCAGAGGCCGGACGGCAGCTGTGGCCGGCACAAGCTGTGCCCAGAGACAAGCCCCAGGGTGATGGCCAGGGCTGCCGAGGCTCCCTCCGGTGCCCGCTGCTCCGGGGCTCTGG